GACAAGTTGACGAGCTGGTATAGTCGATAGCACACAAGGATGTAGAGAACAGTCAACAATTGGATAACAATCATGCACAAGCTTTACCACGACCGTCCTGGGATGGTGAAGCTAGATGCTACCACCGAGCAAAGGGAATACTCCGTGGGACCCTCGCAGGAAAGGCAACTGTTACTCATAACTGTCTACGGGAGAGGGTGGGACTGGAGACCGCCGCCAGGAAAATGACAACCAATGCACACCTTATCTGTGAGGGCACACCACCTACATCATTCTTGGTCACACTCCAACTGTTCTGTTACGCAGGCGGGACCCCCAATGCATTCACGGCAGTCAGCGAAAAGGACAGACCAACTGAGTCCTGTCCGCAGTCCAGGCTCCCACCGTGCGTCACGCCCGCATGCATTGAGCAAACGAGACGACCACCGACATACCGAGACTTTGGCCGCAGTCGAGGTTGTTCTAGAATCTCTAGGCGCACACTATACGCCAGGAATATTCTAGAAAGAACGGAACCACATAAATATACCGGAGTGGACAAGCTAAGGGACCCCGCGCGCCCCGCTGTCTTTGTGTGCTGTTGAGTAAAGCCATTGCCCATCAGAACCACTCTCTTGCCTTCTTCTGCCTACAAGTCGGGTTCGAGCAACTGGCGGCGCAGGTGAGATACAGTTGTTTCATACGGGACAACCGGCAACGCAAACGAACACAACATATTTAGCCCAGAACAAACACTGAAGATATTGGAGGCACGGCAAAACAGCTTCATGAATCTCTTCACAGAGCTGCACAGTTGCAGCTGTAACTCGACAGGCCTTGGCGTCATAAGCGAGTGGCTGCAGGATAAGCTAAAGGACAGGCTCACAGTAGCAACAACCGAGGCAATAACAGAAATAAACGCAGAGGAATCAGCTGCAGCCACAGCCACAGAAGCAGAAGAATCGGCAGCAGAAGTAGTAGCCACAGAAGCGACCGAGGTTATAACAAATTCAAACAAGGTCGTCTTTCATTTCTCGCGGATCCCGCACCTGCTCCTATGTTCTACCGGGAAAACCATGTAAACCATCCTCACCGTTGGTTATACTGCTTTAGTCTCTTCATGCTCATGCCACGAAGATACTCGGACACACCTCACTGCACCTGTAAAAACCACTGTGATTACGCTTGTGATGGAGTTTATTTTTGGGCGATACGCCAGTTGGTCTGCCTTCCTTTGTGGTTAAACAATACAGGGTGTCTCAAAAAATGTAAAAAAAATTTAAATAATTGTAAACTTAGTGTTTATTTTAATTTTATTATTTCAAAAACGTAAAAATATTTACAATCATCATTTTTTGTTTTTTTTTCACTGCATTTTGACTATTGCCACAGTGACTGAATTGAGAGAAGCCACTGAACATGAATGCACCCAAATACCAAGGGAATTGTTTCGTGGTATGTGCGATTCCATTGCTTCGCGTTGTCAGCAGTGTCATAGTCAAAATAAACGTCAGTTTGAGAAAATTCAGGGAAAAAAGTAATAAAATGATACTTGTAAATATTTTTACATTTTTTAAATAATAAAATTGATTAACACCAATTTTACAATTAGGTAAAATGTGTATGCACTTTTTTGGGACACCTGTATTTAGCAGTTGCGTCATAAGGGTCCACCAAGTGCAGGCTAATTGTTAAAAAAGTGCCTCAGACAAAGCGCGGGTTAGGTCTGAACATAAACAGTAGGACCTGTTTTTCACCCGTTAGGGATTGTACGGAATGGTTGTAGTGCGTTACAGGACACACTTAACCCATCGTGCTTTGAGACTCAATCACGAGCCCCTCTGACAGCTGCTTAGCGGCTAGTATATGATGGGCAAAAAGACTACAGTAGTCGCCGGTTATTAAGCCCACCTCGGGCCCAGACCAAATTGG